TGCCATTTGATAGTATCCCTTTCAGCTCATACGACAATTGGGCAAGCAAAGCACGTTCAACTCGCATCACAGATTAGCAGTGTGCAGGCTGTGCCACCAAAGCCACGAGCTACCCACATGAAAGGAGGGCATAAATCGGCAGGTAAATTGGTGATAACAGATCAGAGCAGAACGGAAAACGACACATCGAGTGCCCAATTCTCAAAAGGACAACTGATGGTTTTAATTAAATTCCAGATAGGCAACAAGACAAAAAAAAACACTTTGGTACCAATTGATGGATCTCCTTGATCATACACAGTAGTGAGAATTAAGTTCACAACTAAGACTCTAGCGATACAAGAGATGCATTTGTCACCACAAACTCAACCACCACCATCTTACTCCTCTGCCTCTGCCTCACCACTCTTCTTGTTGCCCTTCCTTGAGTACCTCAAGTTCCTCAGAAACTTCGGGTCCATCTAAAAGCACACAAAAGAGATCATTAATAGACATACAAATGGCCAGGATAAAACCCAGTCCAAAAACGCATATTAAGCAAATAGGCACAGCAAAAGGGGAAATAAAAATGAAATTTCTGCAGGAGTACAATATTTATTATGTCAGAATAGACGGTATCAAACTATCTAAACCTTCCTTGAAAAAGCAATTATAGTGTTTCAGAAGGTAAAGAATAAGTGAAAATTCATAATGAACACAAAATTGAAACTAGATATCATCGTGCATACTATTTTGCTGCGCAAACAATTTTTTGGATCAAACCAAGTACATAGCATGAGATTTAATGTGTCAATAGCACTCATTCTCTAGGCAATCATCAGCATAACTGCAGCATAAGAATTCAGACAAACATCAACTAACGTAGCTACACAAGTACATACAAGGCAAAAACTATGATGATACCAGAAGGTCTGCAACAAGATATGAAGAGATTCATGTTATGGTAATATTTTAACAATAAACCACCAACAGAATAAAATAACTGGCATAACAAATTCAGTACAATATAAATCATAACAACTTACACTGCTGTAAGTAATTTACTTACATGGTTTTTATTGACTTGGAGAAGGCTTATGATAAAATACCAAGGAATGTTATGTGGTGGGCTTTGGACAAATATAAAGTCCCAACTAAGTACGTCGGGCTCATCAAGGACATGTACAACAATGTTGTGACTAGTGTTCGAACAAGTGATGGAGACACGGATGACTTCCCAATTAGGATAGGACTACATCAAGGGTCAGTTTTGAGCCCTTATTTGTTTGCCTTAGTGATGGATGAGGTCACAAGGGACACGGAAGGAAACATCTCTCGGTGTATGCTTTTCGCGGACGATGTAGTGCTAGTTGATGAAAGCCAGACATGAGTGAGTTAGAAACTGGAGTTATGGCGGAAGACTTTGGAGTCCAAAGGTTTTAGACTCAGTAGAACTAAATCTGAGTATATGAGATGTGACTTCGGCACTACTATTCGGGAGGAGGAAGATATTAGTTTGGAAGGTCAAGTAGTGCCTAGAAAGGATATCTTTCGATATTTAGGATCAATGCTACAGAGAGACGGGGATATTGATAAAGATGTAAGCCATAGAATCAAAGCAGGGTGGATGAAGTGGCGTCAAGCATCTGGTGTACTACGTGACAAAAGGGTACCACAGAAGCTAAAATGCAAGTTTTATAGGACGGCGATTAGATCTGCTATGTTGTATGGTGCAGAATGTTGGTCTACGAAAAAACGACATGTTCAACAGATAAGTGTCGTGGAAATGCGTATGTTGCGTTGGATTTGCGGTCATACAAGAAGGGATCGAGTTCGGAACGATGATATACGTGATAGATTAGGGGTAGCACCAATTGAAGAAAAATTTGTTCAACACCGGTTGAGATGGTTTGGACATATCCAACGGAGACCTCCAGAGGCACCGGTGCGTAGTGAAATCCTAAGCCAGGATAGTAACGTGAAGAGAGGCAGAGGATGACCGAAGTTGACTTGGGCAGAGGCAATAAAAAGAGACTTAAAAGGATAGAATATACCCAAAGACTTAGTCTTAGATAGGAGTGCTTAGAAAACAGCTATTCACGTGTTTGAACCTTGATTGCTTCTTCTGGGTTTCAACTCTAGCCTATCCCAACTTGTTTGGGAGCTGAAGGCTTTGTTGTTGTTGTGATACAGTTACAAAATTTACTTTGGGACAATTAATAAGAGTATAAAGGACAGCCGTGCAGCATTTCGTAAAAAACAACACGGCAGTAAGCAAGGCAATTTCGGAGCAACAAAGGCCAAATACTAGTATAGAAATTTAGGATAAAAATGGGCAGCATCTAGTATTGATAGCATCAAGGCATGCTACAAAAACTACTGCATTTGCACTCGGGCATAGGCCCACATAATGAATACGATCACGTTTCAGCGAAAGGCTAGTTTTCAAATTCAGATCTAGCATAGTTCAGAAGCGAGCAAGGAAAAGGAAGCACGTACCCCCTTGGTGGAGGTCTGGCGGTGGCGCTTGGGCTTCTTGATGCCGTTCTTGTGCGCCTTGTACGACTGGTTATGCGCCGTGTGATTCTTCGACTTGGCCATCCCGAATCCCTCTTGCTCCTACTCCTAGTCACCTGCGGTTCCACCAAGAAATCGGGAGATGAGCAATCGAATCAGGAGAAGGAGCTCAGGAGGAAGACGAGGAGCAACAGTTCTCTCTTGATTCTTACTGCGTTGGGGCGACGGGGCAGGTCAGCGGCGGCGTGAGGAGAGTTAGGGTTTCGGGAGCGACGACGCTTCGAGGCTGGCTTTATATAGACGAGGGGGCACTCTCTCAAGCCCATTTTTGTACTAGGCTCGGAATCAGCCCACTAGAGGCCCATTAAAGTGGCGTTCTGAGCCCCCTCCGCGTGTAGGACGTGGCCTGCAGGTGAGTGATTTTTTTATATGGCTACAACTATCTCCAATAACAGCAACCAAAATATAAGACCTATTCAAAGTTTGGATAGCGCCACAGGCATAGGCAAAGAGCTCAATACTCATTTTGTGCTTTCTCCATCAACAACATCTAAAAAAGAACCCCTTTTCTGCAAAATGGGTTTTCAGGAGAAATGATGCTCATATATTGGGTTGTCTCTCCTGCTACCTAAAATAGGTCTCCCGTATCGATACTCTGTTGGAGGCCAAAATAGTACCATCCAAGACCTATTTTGGTTTTTGGAGCCCATACGAGTACTCTGTTAGAGATAGTCTTAGGGCACTGCAACAGGAGCCATTAGGTTCTCTCTAAGGAAACACGTAGAAAAAAGAAAGTGGTATAGAAAAAAAAAATATCGTTACTTTGGCGTACATGGTTCCTGATGAGGGAGGTGAGGTGACTTTGTGTATGTGATGCAAGTGCTCAGCTAGCGAAGAGTTAATGAAGATCAATATGTGAGGAGAAATATATTGAATATGGAACATGACATAGTCTCATATGGCAAGATAGTAAAGATCGAGACTTTGCTACGAAGAATCATGTGCAAGTGTGAAGGGAAAGCTAGATGCTCAAGACATGATGGATCGTCGTGACGGTGAAGTGTGATTAGAGGGCTTGATGTCGATGGACCAATACACCGGAGAAGAGCAAGTAAGGCTATGGACTATGAATGGCATCTAAAGCTATGTAAAGATACCGAGTGGCTTGATAGAGTGAAGATGGAGGAGCTTCGTGCTATGGATAATAGTCAAGGTGGCGTGGTTGGCCACACTTGGAGATGACCATTGTTCATCGTATCGAAGACAAGCATCACCAAAATGGAGTTGAAATAGAATATGCAAGACAGAGGTATGACTTGTAGAGCATTTCATTTCACTAGCCATTGATGTGTAGAAAAGTACATGGCCGAGTTTAGGATAGATAATGCCACTCATGAGGTCTAACTTGTGTTGCTTTAAGAGATGATGATGGTTTGAAACTTAAGGGAAAAAAACTTTGAAAAAAATGGTTTGAAAATGCTAACCGAGGCTTAAAGGTATTGATCATCTTGTGGAAGATCACTTAGAGTTGGCTTTGCTTTGAAAAAGGTTTTTCTGCTGTGTGGTGGTTTTTGAATTGAAATTCTATGTTGATCCATTATGTTTTGGATCAATTACTCAACTGGGATGTGTCGCCTTTGAATAAACTTTCTCCTAAAGTCTATCATCGAAATCGGTTGTGGTCATTTTATCAAGTAAATAGCAGGTTAAAAAGGACCCTACAGTCTGACCACCTACCCTGTCCAAAAATTGACCATTAGAAGCCGCCATTCCTATTCCTGTTCGCTTATCTTATGAGCCGTACTTTTTCGACGAACGAACAATATTTTTCTCTCATAACAAATCAACGAACGATACTTTTCAACCTAGCTTATCAACCAAGCAAACAGGCTTATGCCGCCGAGGCTCACGGTATCTGACTGCAAGAGCTGCGGCTTCCATGGCCTCGCCACCCACGCGGCGGAGCACACAGCGTAGCCGGACGGGAGGAACATCCGCAAAACACTTTTTTTTTTCTAACGGAAGATATTGTAATGACTCTAGTCCAAATAACCCTAAAATAGAACAAATAGCATGCCATACATGGAAAGGTGAACACATGTATGGTACAAGTTTAAATTATTGTACCACTAAATCCATGATTAACTCATTAAGGTCACTATGGTATTGATCCATAAACAGCTGCCCCCGATGCCAAATGATGTGAATGCTAGCGGTACAAAACATGCTTTAATACAAACAAGATCCAGGGCTATCTGCTACAGGCAGCTAGCTCTCTTCATTACAATAGCCCTACATGTTGGTTCACAAAATATCCTTATAGGCTTAAACACCTGTGAAGAAATCACAGGCCAGAAGTTCAAGCTGACCAATCTCCAGTCTAAAAATAAAAAAGACGTGCAACACCCCATGTTTCTGCTGTATTTTTCTCCTACAGCAAAATTTCTCCTACAGCAAAAAAGGTTGGCCGTTTCAATCCTCATTCTGTTGAATTTTCTCAAAACTCATTCTGTTGAATTTTCGTGGAGCAAAACATACTCCCGGCTGCAGGGGAAAAAAGACAGTGACAGGTACATCAGCAAGAAATGCTATGGAAATAGAAAATCACATCTAGTACAGGTAAAACATCCAGCAGTGATTAGTAGTAATTAACCATGAGCATAATGTCTGCCATACTGCATAACACATTTATCTCTCATCTCACAAAAGTTACAGACACTCAAAATATGCACAACTTCATATTTACATTTTTACCAAAATATGTCGCTCCACCAAGTTCATAATACATTTATTTCTCATCTCCATTGTGCACCTAATTATATGAATGCAGTTCTAATCAATAAATAAGCCTCCAAAGTTTCTTTCAAAATCCACTCCTCCCCAGCATACTTTTTTCCACCACGGTCGAAACCGAATGTCATTACCATAAAGCAACAAAATTACAAGAGTTTGACAAAATGTAGAGCATATAGTAATAAAAACTGCTAACCCCTTTTGACACCCAGGGTCCAACCGGAGAGGCCTCCAAAAACCACTTAAACGTCAAGCGACAACCAGACCACAAGCAAACTCTCCAGCAAAAATGAAAGGGACCATGGTCATTTTCTCTTACTACAAAATTTGCGAACCAAAAGCTAAAAAACTAAATTTGTATGAAACTTTCCTGAGAAGTGTCAGAAGTATAAGGGACTGTTCAGATAAGAGAAACGATTCCGTTTCTCGTGAGAATCAGAAGAATCAGCTCCAAACAGTTCCCAGCCAGCGATTTGGAATCAGAACTATTCAGCGTTCCAACGTTAATACAACCCATCGATTCTCCAGCGATGCGCTTCCTACTTCTTGATTTTTTTCAGTTAATCCTGTTTAGTGCAACAAGTTAAAATGGGTTGTATTTAAGTCGTTCTTCGCCCACAAAAAGGTCAAATTTTTTAAGCATATTTTTATTTATATGATTTTTAAGAAAAATAATATATTTTCTTATGAACCGGGATCCAGTTTACCAGTGATTCTGATTCATCATCCAAAACATTTCTACGAGAATCCATATCCTTACTTAAGCATATTTTTTATTTATATGATTTTTTAAAGAAAAGAATATATTTTCTTATGAACCGGAATCCAGTTTACCAGTGATTCTGACTCATCCTCAGAACCGTTTGGATCCAAAGCATTTCTATGAGAATCTGGATCCCTACCAAACGCACCCTAATACAATATAGGTGTTAAAAAGGATAATAAGGTGCAAAAAGAATGAATAAAGTTCACACCTAATTACCTAAACTTAGTAAATAACATCTAGATAAATATCATTTTTTCAATTGATGTAATGACAAATGGAGGCAGAAAATACATCTATGCACATAATAACCAGAAAACCAATATAGTATTTCAGGTGGTTAAGATCATACCTACTGTTGCCAAACTTGAGTGTATCCTTTTCAAATAGCTCATAATAGCGCCGAGGCTCAATGCGATTTCCCTACAAAAACAATGAAATTCACATAATAGAAGAGTCAAAACGTGACCAGTAGATCTGACAGATTAACACACATATTACTAGAAACCTTACATTGATGAAAGTTCCATTTGTACTATCAAGATCCATCAGATAAGGCCTGTCAAACAAGATGGCATGATAAAGCGTTACTGATATAATGAAATCAGGGAAGGCATTACTGATATCCCAGAGCAGAGCATTGCAAAAAAATAACCATGCAGAAAAACTAATAAGCATATGTAATACCTTACTTTCTTTGCCATCATGCCATCTGGTTGCTCCTTCTCCACAAGTCTGAATAGAAAACAATGAACTTATTCCTATATGAATTCTTAATAGAGGTCCTTCTAAATGACACACAGCTCCCCTTTGTCATAGGGGAGGGGGGAGGGGGGAGGGAGGGAGGGAGGGAGTGCAGCATACCGGTATTGAAGAACTGCATGTTGCTTGCTGCAGGAGGGATGATCTGTGGGGACGTCTGCAACTTTCCTTTCTCTTCCAAAAAGGTAGCAGGTCATCCGATGAACATACAGTGGTTCTGTTAAATCAGATATATCATAACAAACATTCGAGCTCAGAAAGTGCAAAACAGAAGCATAGAATCACAAAAAGAAACATGTCATTTTTTCCACATTCTCCACATCAATTCTAAGCTCTTAAAATACTCCCTCCTTCCCAGAAAAAATGCAATTCTAGGACTCACGGAAACCAAGGTGACCGGAAAATTACGAAAATGCCCCTATAGATGCTGCTGAACACTCCCAGAGTCTGAACTGCAGCTCTGCCTCAGCAAGGAAGAATCCAGAGTTGTTGGGCTTGTGCAGGTGCAGACTGCCATAACTGAGTGGACGATAAAGCATTCAGGGACTGATTTTTCTTTTTTTTTCTTTTTTTTTTGCATGAGATGTGTCGTGCTGGCAGCAGCCTGGCCGGTGCCTGTTGGTGTGGGTCCCATCCTAGGCCCTGGTACCTGTAGCCTGATTTTGAACTCCAGGATTGCGTTTTTTTCTGGGACAAATTTTGAACTTCTGGATTGCGTTTTTTTTTGGGATGGAGGGAGTATGATTTTTCAGGGTTCCCACACCATTGGGAAAGGCAAGCTGATTCATACTGTTCTGTGTTCTACTCCCTCCATTCCAAATTGTAAGTCGTTTAGGCTTTTCTACGTACAATAGCTTTTGCTATGTACCTATGTATATGCTATGTCTTAGATACATAGTAAAAGCAATCTATCTAAAAAAGCCAAAACGACTTGCATTTTCGAACGGAGGGATTACGTGATTTTGAGCTTCAGGTGCAAAAGGCAGCCTATGATGGTATCCCAAAAAAAGAATAGAATGATCCATAGTCATGCAGGAGCCTGAATAAACAGAGGTCAGATACAAATGGGGACTTTTAACTGGTGGTTTACTGAATATACCAGAGCTCAAATATAGTTTGCTGATAACATGTAGGTATGTTGTCGTTTCTACTACATTAGCAATGATATGTTCAAAGGTAAGTCAAATAAATTCCGTTATCATTCCAATTCAAAAACAAATATAATGAGATGTCTGTTGTGAACCGATGCTCGTACAATACTGCAAATCTTTATTCATTCACAAAACCAATAAGCTAATAAGCAGTATTTTGACAGACATGGGCATACAGCGCATGATACTTCCAAAGAGCCCTCTCCTGATATCCCAGGAAGAGAAAAAATAATTGTACAAATTCAAAGTAAGCTTATGTTGTCATAATGTCATTACTCCACAAGTCCCCGGGTTTGCATGTGCCCTATTTAAATGGACTATCAAGTGTAAAGAAATTTCTGCCATCACTAGTATACAGTTTTTCTTCTGTTACACCTCTCTTTTGCCATGTTCATTCCAATTGCAATAAACACCAACTTTGCATGTTATCATAAAAGTCCACAAGTAGATGAGTGCCATGCTTTCAAGTTTCAAGCGATAATAGACATGGGATGTAGGTGAATGTGGTTCTGGGATTTTGCAGCAATGCACCATGGTGCAGATATTTTTTGCTGCTGCATGTACTGGGTTGAACCAGGGGAAATAGCTAAATAACACCATATGTCACTAAATGCCTAAATGTGAGTTTGCTCCTTCTACCTGTTTTAGAAAAACCATCGAACTGATAGAAACCATGACATAAAGCCAAAAAAAAAAAATCATACATGGAGTAAACAAGTAGAGAACTACCATTCAGTGGTTCACCATCTTTAAATACATAGAGCCTCCATCTAATCTCTGACTTTCGAGCCTCTGCGGGTTCTGAATATAATAGATTTACACCTGAAGTAGGAACAAAGTGTCATCTCCAAGGATAATGCAGTGTGCCAACAGCACCATAGGCACACACTATTTGCTGCATATAATTAATGGTTTTATCATTACAACAATTGTACGCCTATGTTCACATAAAAAAACTATAAGATACAAGAGCTTCAGATAAGCACCTGCAACTCTGTTGGTCTCCTCAGCAAGCTTTCCAGACAATTCAAACGATGGCTTTTGCTGCAAAATAAGGGGGGAGAAGGTTTCAGATCACAATACACAGCAAATGACAATTATTTATTAGCAAGCGAAACAAACATCAGTGAATGGAGAAGTTTCAGTATTTTTCAGATAGATAAATTGCTATAATCATCATCTACAATATTCATCATGGATCATGCACCACCTTTTCTTTTGCTTCAAGAGCTTCTGTGGTTGCGTTCATTCTTGCCAAAGCATCAGGATCTCCGCTCCTGGCCAAAATAAGAAGAGTTCACTGTTACCAAGTGCAAATCACCATTCATATCTAAAGTGAGAAAGCTTAGAGTAATAACACGCTATCACCAGTAAGATTAAGAAATGACACAAAAGCTTCAAAATCTGACAGAACATTATTTAACAGCAGGATTAAAAAATAGGCTAATCCACCACGCCCACTTGAGGCTAATCCACCACGCCCACTTTAGTAATGAGACGAACATAATGCAATGATCTGTCAATGAATTTGGCATAAAAAGTTCATAGCAATCAGGGCATTAACAAAATGAATGCAAAATGTGCTAGGATTTATGTGTTCTTTGCAAATTATATGAGAGATTAGATGGAAGCATGGTCATACTCATAGTATTAAAAAATGCACATCTACACCTGTACTAGGACCTAGTTTTTTTTTCTGTTAGACCTTTCTTTTGCCATGGTCATAGTAAAAAGATTGTACATATACAAAATAAGATTTGCAGCGAATGATGCTTCTAATAAGGATTTAAATTGTATAACAGGACACAAGAGAGGTTAGTTTTGAGCACTGACCAGGATGCTTCACCTCCTCTAGAGTTAATATCCTGAAATAAAAAGTAATGATGTCAGATTGCAGTTTACAGGCGCCAATATGATTGATATAACTGAGAGGTCCTGCATGCATGAGAAGTGGGAGTTTGAGGACTGCAGATTTCACAATCCACAATTAGTAGTAAAAAATCCATGGGATTGGAAATAATTTTCTCACTCCGTATTTATTTGGTGGAGACTATTATAACTTACCAGTAGACAGTAGCAGGACTGTAGAAAACATTCATGAAACAAAAGTACGCTAAGCCAAGTACATATGGAGACATGGAGGGCTTTAAAGTGATGGGTAAGATATCACAAGAACCTCGGTATGTGCTGCACTTCCGGACACCCTCAGTGATGGATGAGATTCATGCCTGCCCTGATGCCTGTGCTCTTCTGGAGACACTGATCGACCACGCCTGGATGACCTTCCTGATCCCCCATTGCTCTCCTCATGATCTGTTGGTTTCTCTCTTGTAGAATCCCTTCTGTCACCACGGTCCAGCCTTTGCTCCCTTGAAGAAGCAGATTTCCAGTCATCCCGATTAGGCCTTCCATGCCTATCATCATCCTGGCTCGGCAATGTCTCCTTTGAAGCACCAGACTTGTCATCCTTCCCAGCCCTCCTCTCCCTAGAATGATCCTTCCCATCATCACGATCATATTTCTTATCTTTTGCAGTACCTCTGGTATCCTCTCGATCCGACTTCCTATCTCTAGATGCATCCCTCCCTTCATCATGCTCCCTGTGCTTGCCCCGTGAGTCCTGCTCTTCCCTGTGCGAGGACTTGCGGCGATCACCATTCGTTACCTGCACTGCCTCCTTATCCACCTTCCTGTCTCTTGAAGCATCCCTCCCCTCATCATGCTCCCTGTGCCTCACTGTATCCTGCTCCTCCCTGTGACCGGCCTTCCGGCGGTCACTGCCAGTAACCTGCGCAACCTCCCGCTCACCCTGGGCTCTCCTCAGCCTCTTGGTGCGTGGCGAGGGCGACCTAGAGGCGTGCCGCCTAGAAGGTGAGGGTGATCGTGACTGCTCCTGCGTATGTTTCGGCGACCTGGCCCGTTGGTCCTTCGTCTTCTCCCTGGGAGGCAACCTCTCCCTCCCCTTGTGCGACAGGCTGACCTTAGCAGGAGACTGCGGCGACTTGACACGCTCCTTCACCTTCTCCCTCGGAGGCGACCTGTCCCTATCCCTGTGCGACGCACTTGACTTCGCAGGAGGAGACCGTGCCCTAGCAGGCGAACCCTTCCTCCGCTCTGGGGAACTCCGCCTGCGTGGCGGCGTTCCCCTCCGCTCCCTGTCCCGTGCTGGGGAACGCGATCTCCGCGTGTGCTCCTCCCTCCGCCGCTCCACCGCCGAAGCCATTGCTGACCTGGAGCAACACATTTGAAACACCGTTGAGTGTCGATTCAGGACGCGAGAAAAGCACCGGAATTGCGCAAGGGTTTTTGGTCCGGCATTCGTGCGAAACGAGGGGCGGAAGGGAACTTACCGGAGATGGAGGCGGCGGAACGGGTCTAGATGCTACCTCCCCACCGCGGAGGCGGCGGCTGATCCCGATTTTTTCTGCTTCAATGGCTTCAATCGTGGAGATAATGCTTGGATGGATCGAGATGTTCGATACTTCGATGGGGAGAAAGACTGAGACGAGGACACAAAACCCAAACAGAAAAAAAAAATAGTACACAGTCTGTTGCTTAGGCCCACGGGTTGGGCCGATGTGGCAAACACCAGGGCCTGTTTGAGCTCCAGTTTTTGGCTGTTTTGATCAAAACTTAGTTTTCTATCTTTTGGCTTTCGGCTGCTTTTTTCTCTATTTATTTTTTTAATAAAATTTTGAGTTTTTAGCAGAAAAAAAAGCTTCTCAGAACATGTTTTTTAGCTTTTTATTCATTTTCTCGTAAGCCTGCTTTCTATTTTTTTAAAAACAACTCAAAAGTTGGGCTATTTTGTTTTGATTTCTGGTTTTTGACTGGCAGAAGCGAGACAAAAGCTGAAACAAACAGGACCTTAGCACGGAGATAAAAGCCCCCTTTGAAAGGAACGATTCTGGCTCATACCGAATGTGCACTATTGGACTGGTTTTGTCTCGCTTTCCTAAAATGAATAGAAGCCGATAAATATAAACAGAATCTAAAATAGTGGATGCGCCCATGGCCCGAAGCTTTTGCTCTCAGGGATGGTCTTTTGCTAGCACAACAGATTGGCTGCACTCGCGTGGAGATTCAGGCCGATTGCTTGGAAGTTGTCACGACGATGAACGAAGGAGGCTTCTCGGCTACTGCGGCAGCAGCAATCTACGAAGAGTGCTGCCAGGACTGGGAAGAGTTTGCTGCTATTTCTATTAGCCATTGTAATAGGGAATGTAATTCAGTTTCACATGAGCTAGCAAGGTTAGCATTGGTAGAAAAGAGCTCTTTTGTTTGGATAGATGATCCCCCTAGCTCTATCCTCCAATTACTTGTAAATGATGCTGCTACATTATTGAATCAATAAAGTTTTGCCGGAAGGCTTTCAAAAAAAACTAGAAAATGAACCCAAAATAAGATAGAAGCTAATAAATATAGGGAAAATTAAAATAAACCAGAAATCGATGAAACGAGAAAAGGCCCAAAACAAATTAGAACCTGATAAAAATTGAAGTTAAAAATTAGTTATTCGTTAACCAAGAGGCCAACTAGCTAGCCAATCTTACCTATAAAAAAAACTAGCCAATCTTACCTAATTTGAACTATTTTTTAACCTAAACTCAACTAGTAATTAGTCCTAGCTGATCTAAACAGACCTAGCCAATCTTAGCTAATTTGAACTAATTTTTTAACCTCAACTAGTAATTAGTCCTAGCTGATCTAAACAGACCTTGTATATGGTGAAGAAAATGGCAGTTATGATACTCAGAATCCCTGTGCTGGAGGCTAAACTCGAGTCTTTAAGCTTGGGAACAGTACCGTTCCGAATAGGCCCAAACTATGAAAGTGGTACGAGCTAGGGAAACAAGGCACAAACTGCACTCGAAAGGTACATGTATTGTATTGGCTAAAGATCACATGTAGATCAGCATTCAACAAAACTTAGTAGAGAGAAATATGATTCAATATATCCAGAAAGTAACTGAGTAGCAACCCTCAATTGAGCAATGTCTCTCCGAAATCTTGTACCATTCAAGAATTAGCGACAAAGCACAACCAAAACTCATTTGTGGTAGCCATTCAAAATTTGCAGCTCCGCTCATCTCAACAGGTCCGTCAGTTTTAGACCCATACAAGTGATGCAAAGAAAATACCTATATAAATGTTTCAGTGAGAAGGTAAGGATTGCATTTCTGTCATTGGGCCAGCATGTAAGTATGCTTACTAGATGGTAAGTGTTTGCATATGATAACTACAAAATCTGTAAGAATCAGAGCTCGCTATGTGGATCTTTTAAATCCAGAAAAGAATGAAAACACTGCAGTTCAATAGTTCACGAACCCAATAAGTGAACAACAGCTCTGCGCATCTGACATCTCATCATGGTTGCCTTCAAGGTGAGGGCTCGTCATTTCTGTGGTAGAATCCACGCTTGAATCTTGTGTATCCAGTCTCTGCAACGATAGTACAACAGCCAGACGGCACTAGAGTCTCCAGGTGGGAAGTTTATATGTATAATCATGTGAAAAATGTGACAACATCTCTCGTATATCCCCTAACTATTAACATGCGTGGGACATTCTCTACAAGCAAATCCATGTACTCCATGTAGAAATATGAAGGATGATTTAATGGTGGTGGTGGAAGGCTCACAAGAACTACAGCTGCCATTCTGGAGTACCTGAGTATCGTGGAGTTCAACTTGAACATTGTGTAAAGGAATTTATCAACCTTCTGTTCATTCACAACAACTTGCCTCCCATTCTCCATTAGTGGCTGCCTTTCTCTTTGAGCAGTTTCCTTCATCTCGTCAAGGTATGTTCTGATCCTTTGCTGTGCACTTGTGTAAGCCTCATGGGAGTTATCCTGCTGAGCACCGCTACTGCTGCTCTCCATGTGTGACTCCCATGATTTCATAGTGACAACAATGACCTCAGCTTGCATCCTAAGATCATACAAGAACTTTTTGACATCAGCCTTCAGCTCCTCTGCGTCGGTATCCTCTTCAGATATGCAGAAGACTTGGATCTTACAGCTCTCAAAACTCTCCTTTGTCAACAGGAGCTGAGACAGAAGCAGCATCAATCCTCCATCTCTTACAATCCAGTAGAGGTCAATAGTCCCATACTGTCGCTGGTACTCGTTAGGCCACTCATCGAGTCCCTTCACAATGACTACTGCCTTGTTAGCAATAATGCAATCATTTATTATACTGACAAATGTTGACGGTATCTGTGTCAAATTCTCACGCCGCCAGATCTCAGGGTACCGCATCACAACAATGTTTGGCTTCAAGTTTCCTAGGCCCATTGTCTGCACAATGCTACGGAAGCCATCAGACATAGTAGGAGCTACAATGATCTCTGCAACACCCTCACAGCGTTTGTAGTCAATGTAAGCATCCAGTTGGTGGCAGGCAGTCTTTGCATCCTCAGCTAGTTCATGGTAATCACCATCAATTATCGAGACAAAAATGGACATACCACGGCCCTTCTTCTTCATACAATTAGCGAAGTCTGCAAGTTTTGGATGACAAGGAACATTTTCCGGAAGTTTACCCCATGGACGGCAGAATATCAGAGGAATGGGGTACCAATTCTTAGGATGCACTTGGTTTGCTGCAGAAAGGACCAAAAGTTACAAAATTGCGAAGTATGATTATTTGCAAAGCAGATAGTCAGTCGTACCTCCAAGAGATCTGAGACTTCGGAGTGCCAATTGAAAGTATGCACTCTTGAACCCATCTCCCCAGTCTCCAGCCTTCCCTTTTATGCTCACATAGTAATAGATGAGGCTTGCAAGGGCAAGGGAGACAACAGTGAAAGACCAGGAGATCAGAAACATAATCACTGAAATTGATACAAAGATTCATGTCAGCACTTATAATTATAAATGCATTTCTGGCTGTTTCAATTAGATATTTGCTATTGTAAAACATGATAAATAATACTTGAGTATAAGTGAAGAATAGGTGGTTAGATTAAAAACAATAGAAGTGGACAAAGTCTCAAACCAAGGACCTGCTCAAGTATCAACTGTTCATGCTGAAGATCGTGATAAACAAATAAAATGGTAAAAATATTAAGAACCATACCAACACAGAGCAATGCCCCAACAAGTGAAAGGCTCCAATGGTGAAATTTCCATCTAGGGCGCCAGCTAGGAGCATCCAGGAGGTCAAGCAGAAAGCATGACAAGTTCACGCCGGCATAGCACAGAAGGAAAAACATTGTGATAGTGGGTGTAATCAAATCCAAGTTTCCAATAACAACACAGCAAATACAGATGAAAGCCGTGAATAAAGTGGCCGCATGTGGCTCAGATCCCTCAGAAACTTTGAAGTAATTAAGAACTGGAAGAATGTCATCATTCGCAATTGCTGCAAGCAACCTTGGAGCCCCAGTCAAACTCTGCAGTGCTGCACCTAAGGTTGACAGAATAATACCAATGTAAATCACTGCAGGAGCAGGCCAAGCCACCGTAGCAGTAAGAAGCCTGCAAGTGGTTAAGGATATTTATGAGATAACCGCACAAGCAAGAAGACACTGTAACAGCTGGCGTAAGCCTTATGGGGCTACATAAAAAATAAGCAACTGGAGACTACAGTAATGCTTAGGATGTTGTTCTAAGACAATAACCTTACCGATAAGGTAAAAATAAATCAAACACTTAGTTAAGGTTATACAAAGCAACACAGAGTATTGTTAGCCATTAAGACTATCTACCACAATAATATGAACATCAATCTTATATAAAGTAGATTAGCAACAGACCATCTGCTGGCATTTATTCACAGTAGCTCCAGATGCACAATAGTAATCGTAGAGCATTCTGATTGTAAAATTATGGAGCATATATCCTAAAACAGGATCTATACAACAGTAACCAACAATTTGCTAACAAAAAAAAAGTTTATGTCCACTTCATAGACAATCAGAAGCAAGTGATGGATGCAAGTAAGAACATGAATCATTTTCTCTACTGTTAGGAAACTTAAAACTAACGTGACAATAATTCTGCCTTTGGCCATAAAATCATGTTGGCCTTTAGCCATATAATCATGTTGGCTTGAACTTGATGAAAGAACTAGCACATATGCTCTAATGGTGTCATGAACTATAAAGCCAGATTTATTAAGCCCTTAAAACAATTATCAGCAATTGACACAAGAAGAACTTGTATGCAGTACTAAAAAGCAGATACCTATCAGTTAGAAGCTCCTCCCGTGTGGCCAAGGCTCCAAATAGAAGCACAGAGAACAGGTACATAGCAGTTGTTGTAAGAGTTGCAGATAATGTGCCGATTGGTATTGAACGCTGTGTATCTTTCAGTGAAGCAGATCGGTTTGAGCCAGCCATAATTCCAGTGACTGCTGGGAAAAAGAGACCTACCAAAGCACTGAAAGATCGATACAAAAAAAATAGTTGTTAGCACAATAAAGTTTCACATACATAAGGAAATGTGCAAACCGCAGTGCATTTAAAAATGCAGCAGAAGGGTCACGCCCCTAATAGCTTGGAAATCTCTAAACCTTGTCACAGTTAATCATCTAGTTCCAACAGGCTTTGAATATATGGCAGATGGAATTCACTAAACAAGTGGATATGAACAGGGTGAGCTTTTTTCTGGTAATAAACAATCCTGCCATTCTGTTTAACCTATTAATTTTTGTAGTTCTGAGCAATTAGTGTCAATTTTGATGGACCATGGTTCCTAAAAAATGTGCCACCAGGCCCTGTAGTTACCAGGAACAGGACAAACCATGTGATAAATCATAAAGAATTTGCGATCTCAAATGATTGCATCAATTACAGAGATAATTCAGAACTTCATGAACTTATTGGAGTCTAACAAGTTTGCATACCCACATTGCAATAGATGTTTCTAAAGGAAATAAAAACGTTTTGTGAGAAAAACACATGTCCCAGCCATTTATACACCTTTGCAGGAAATCACCTAATATGGGATCTTTTTTGCACTCAAGATGACTATTTTCTTCATTAGGAACAGAACACTGTTCCAAACCAACCACATTCACATTCAACACCATGATGGCACAGTACTGTATCCACAGGGTGCTTAAGAATGCAGGTTACGACCTGAGCTCTTCACAACCAAAACCAGGCTATGCAACAGGACAATGGCACAAAGGCACAGAGGTGTGCATAGGATGATTGAATAGCAAAGGAATCTCTCTGCAAGGCAGTTAACCAGGGGGTGGGTGGCATATTTGGTCCAGCTGAAGGAATCTGATCAACATGTTGGTTCCAAATGTTCGCCTGTCTAAATTACAGCAACATTGGAGAGAAGGATCGGTGCCATTGCCAACATTGCTCAAAGTTATCCAAACTCTAGGAGAGCATGCTGAAGTTGCTTGCATATTTTTTATGGATAAAGAAGATTTTTCAATTTTGACATAGGAAAAACTTACTTGAAATCCCAATATATTGATCCACTTGGATCAGGAACACCAGCATTGTTTGTTCGTTGATAGTCTTCACCCCAATTGTCTTTCAATGTGGTTATACTCAACCCAGTGATTCCCTCTACATCAGTCAACAGTAAAATTCAGCACATGGAGATGACAACATAATCTGAAAGTAAAAAATGAGGGTACGTACTTGGAGCATTATGCCTTGGTGCAATGAAGACACCAAGATAGATGCACAGCAAAGAAAACAGGACTGGTATTAAGAAAGCAGGTGCAACCTTGTTGATGATTTTGACACCACCAAACACAATAAAACATAGCAGTATGGTCACAATAACACCATACACTTGAAGATCATGCAAACTGGGTGTAGATATAGTTGACGTGCCAGCAGTTTCTGTACCATTCACTAATGTATTGTTGACAACTGTTACACTCTCTGCGTTTTGAAACAGGTATAGATTAGTCCACACAAAAATCAGAAACAGGTACAAGTTAGTCCTAACAAAAATCAGAATCAGAATTAGAAGTTATGTAAAGCAATAAATATAGCTTTCATCGCTTTTTTTATTTATCTCCATCAAACTAACTAGCTAACTTTGCTCACTGTTGCATGTCATCAGTGATCGACGGAGAAGGGCTTGGTCATGACTGCGAAATAGGCTCTTTTGTGACTGCCATTACAGATGGGCAACCACCAATATATTTGCTTTCATGCATGCACCTAACAGAAAAATACGGTGCTAAATCATACATGATAATATGCATGCATCTTTGATATAAGTGTCTTTTCAAGTAACCCCTTCATTTCTTCCACAAGGCGCATCCTGTCTACTCAACAATTAAGGTGCTTATAACATCAGGAAAAAAGGCACCAGGAAATGAACATTACGTCCTTGTGCTAATGTCTTAAAAAGAAGAGAGAATAGTGTATTATCCAATAAAGATGGAGAAAGGACCACTGAAACGAAAATGGTGTGGCGCCCAAGGGGGCTGAAACCCCTCTCTATCTCAGCAGTTGCATGTGATTGCCCCCGTCAACTTTAACGAAAGACAGGTTAACGGTGGCACAGTAAAAAAATATTTACAGCAGATAGAACTGGTTGTATATCCGATTTCTATGTAGTAGCAGATGATGTAGTGCTGCAGATTGGTGTATACCTGTTTTTTTTTAATATAACTTTGTATTCCAGAAGATCACTTTGTGCTTTAATTAATAATGTATTACAAAGCTCCACTTTATGGTTTCCATATTATTGGGCCTTACGAAATTATATGTTCCTTATAGCCATCATGCTATCTATATATGGAACGCAGGTACCATGTTGTGCAACTGAAAATTATGGAACTACATGAGTAGTTCAACAGAGAAGAATGAACTCCATACAATAACATAAACACATCATTTTGATTCACAGAAGTTATACAAGTATATATTTCATTTTTTTACTGGACTTTCCAGCCGTCTGCTGCTGTTAGTGTCTGTATGAGCAGCTTTTCAGAATTCAATCCATGGTGCGGATAAGCAGGCGCCAAATGCATACTCATCACTGAAATTGCATGCCTGCCTTATATTTTGGCGACGAGGGAATATTAAATAACATATTACATGATTACCATCTCATAAACTGCAATTGTGTGAATATAGATGCTCCATATGTCCAAAGTACTAAAGCACACAAACCACACTTGAAATATATGTAAGTAGACAAATTCTATTCACAAACTAAGCATATTGATTCAAACCATTTGTAACTTACTTTGGAAAAGTCCAGCAGAAGGAACAGCATCAAGAAAGGTTTCTACAGCTCCAAGCACATACCTGAAAATGGTCAAATAAGTTTCTAAGGCGCAGATGAGTGACACTCCTGCACGAATGCACCCTACCAACAAGTAGCAAATTATTCAAAACCTATATTATTTGAAGTTCCACTGAGTGTTATCAAACATAATTCCTGTACTCTTCTGTGATGGACACACTTTAGATGGCCCTGAACCCAAGTAAGCAGGACCATGCTGATGCCCGGCAGCCATGCCACAAGGGCAGGGATAGAGAAGGGATTGGGACTCTTGATCTATTTCTTGCTTACAACCAAAACAGACACATTCCCAATCTATATATAGATGAGATGACTTTACCTTTAAGAACCTATCTCTAAATTAACAAAATACTCTTTCCATCCCAGAATATAGATAAAACTAGTTTTGGCATTCACATAGGTGCTATAAGCAGTCTACTGCCAAAAATACCCCTCCCATGTTCACAAACTAATTTGGCAACATGCAAAAAAAAAAAAAAAAAAAAAAAAATTATCGCTGCCATGCATGTGTGGCATGCACATTTCCTTTTTTTTAATTGGGTGACAAGAAAATTAAATTGGAAGGAACCACTGCCAAAAAAAAAAACTTTTATCGCTGCCATGCATGTGTGGCATGCACATTTCCTTTTTTTTAATTGGGTGACAAGAAAATTAAATTGGAAGGAACCACTGCCATGCACAGATGCTGGCAAACATGCAGCTCACTTGCCCATGCAGTGGGACAGTTAATGAAGGGCAAAATCAGACCTTTTATCGCTCTCCTTAATCTGTCTGAGAAAATCTAAAACCAGCTATATTATAGGATGGAGGGAGTACATAACAGCTCAAACCAATCTAATCTAATCTCCAACAGAACTAACTCATCCTTGGCCTGGTGTTAACAGTATGTCAGTACCTAGCGTGAACAGTATGCGCCGGCCTTCGGGGAGGCTCTTTCTTATGGGCCCTAATGGGCTGGATATGACATGTTCACATTGTTTCCTAATCAGTATCCCATCTAGAAACCATACTAGTTCAATCACAGAGTTGCATGGATCTTTATAAAATACCCAACAGGTGGAGCTGCCCTGCATTCCAATCGTTGACCAGAGAAGGTACAACAACAAGAATAAAGCCTTTTTAGTCCTAAACAACTTGGGGTAGGCTAGAGATGGAACCCAAGAAAAGCCAAAAGGGAAGATAAATAAAAGGTAAAAAGAGGTATTAGTAGCAGTGAAAATAGTACATGCGGACTAATAGACTTGGTCATGGTTTGGACATGTGGGTTCCTGATTCCACATGCTCTTATCCAAAGATAATTCTTTGCGTGTATTCCAATCTTCAAGTCTATTTACTGCCACCTCCCATGTCAGGCTGGGTTTCATCTCCAAAAGATTGGCTGGCTTTTTTTACGTTGGCTCACCAGCCTGTCACACCCCCTTCCTCTATGTTGAAACAAAATGAGGCATAACAGCTCACTACTTTATATTCTTTTACTCACTACATACTAATACATACTATTTATCACATGCTGACTAGAAGAGGAGTTCATGGTGATAGCTACGCAGCAGGTGCACAAAGGGTGCATTAACATCATAATAGCATTGCATCAGAAAATTGAAAACGACAACCTCAATTAATGGTTGTAATGGTGCACACTTACATGGATCCAGCCACTGCATTCCCGAGGAAGAAGCATAATCCTATACTAACTCCAACTTCAGGACCAAGTGCACGGCCTATAAGATAATATGGCCCACCACCCTATAGGTCATTCAAAATGCAAGTCTGTCAGTGTTAGTTTGTTTTGGTTGAACACTACAACAACAAAAAATGAGATCTCGAAGTACTTAGTCCCAGCATTGAATCAAGATTCAATTTTATCCCCCAGAGAATTTTCTCTGTATCCCACAAATGGTATGAAAAGCAAAGAAGACAATCAAAAGGGTGAACATACCGGCCCTAAGAATTGTCAAATATTATGCAAATATTTAACATACCTTCATAGCTCCATTCGTTGCAATGGCACTTAATGATATCGAGGTTAAAAATGTGCATGCACCACAAAATGAAACTAACACAAGAGACTGCCATACACCTGCCATACCTACAATCCTACAGAAAGGAGGAAAAGTGTTGGTCAAGCTTATCTAAGAAGTATTTGTTAGTTTTTTTTATCAGTAATGTATGAGGCAGTGAAGAGAGACAAGCATCACAGTGAAACACCACTTATACCTGATTTGAACAACAGGAGGATAAAAAAAGAGACTAATACTGTAATAAGTCAAATTTCAAGTACTGATACCTATTTACAGTTTTACTTCAATATTCTTTTATTTGGTCCTAATATAACACAAGGGCAGCAACATCTGTATGATCATCGGAGCATTTTCAGAAAATAAAAAGTAGAAACAATGTACTGAGGCCATAACAAAAGTGTATGTAATACCTTACCAGGTAAAACGGATATAATAAATGATTCCCAAGATATTCTGCAAGCATGGAACAAAGACACCCATCATGGTGCCGAACTTAGGTCCACTTTGCTGTCCAAAAAAAAAAGTAAACTCCTCAGTGATATAGGTATATCACTTCTACAATTTCATAAATCAAAATGGAATGGAATGGAATCTGGTCACTAAAACCAACAAGAATGAATAAAGTTAAAACTTAACAACCACTGAAGATCAGACATGCATGAACCAAATGATATTCCAAACAAACTCAAATGAACAACCCAGCTATCTCTGCTTAAGTGAATATTCACATGCAGCAAACAAAATAGGGGTATTATGAAATGAGTCAATTTCTCATCCTAAACTTCACGAGACACAGAAACATACACCCAACATACTGTAAGATCGCTATAATTGCTAATTCTTAATTTTTCATCTTTTTTCTAAAAGCAGAGTAAGGAATTTTCAAACAGGCGGCAGAAAATGTTGAAATGGAAGAAAACCTTGGGGCGCCCAATGGTAATTGCAACATCCTCGCCATCCCTAGGACTTGAAGGGGCCTGAATCTGCTCTCCTGTCATGCTGCTCAGGTTCAATCAGATGATGATGTCATGAAGTAGAATCAACAGTTCAAACGATCTTCAGGGTGCATATGCTAAACACTGGTAAAACTCAGCTTCATGATAAAAAAACAAACATAAAGTTTTAGTCGAGTTAACAACAGTAAGAAAATAGAATGATTGACCCTACCTCTTAAGGCCCAATATATTTACAAGAGAATCAAAACCAAAGAGCTCTAGCTTTGAATCCCCTTGAGATCCACTGGATGTATCATGATCATCAGGAGAACCTTCCCGCATACTTGGATCAATAGTTAGATTAGTATCAGGCTTCAGGTTCCTATATCAAACATAAAAGAGTGTGAGTCCATACACCTAGCACCTCAACAATCTGTTTTCTACTAAATTCTCTTGTATCGATGATTTTCAAAAGAAAAGGACAAAAAAAATAAGAAAAAGAAAAGATCATGACCAGCAATAACAATTTCTTCAAAGTTGTTCAAAGCAAACAAGGTTGAGGGTATATATGCCATGTGGGCATGTGGCAAGCCATACCATGCACAAGAAGTAAAATCGATACAAGGACAAAACAGTATTCCCTTTCAAGTATTACAAACTAACATCAAACAGTCTAACCACAAAACTCAAATCTACACCAACAAGCCTATAGTTGCTTGACATAAGGCATGGTTTATCTTATGGTTAGAGGTTGAAAAAAATATTAGGACAGAAGAAATGGCTAGAATTCAAACTACCACTAATGATCAAAGCATTGTACCAATCAGAAGTGAGCATCATTATGGTGCAACTGACTATTTTCAAAGAAATCAGTAGCGGTTTCAATATTTATTGAATTCAATAACAATTTCAGCATCAGTCAAGCATCCAAGCTTCTAGAAAAGAAAGAGGCATCCATATTATCACTACTGATTTCAACAATGGTGGCACTGCAGTTGCAGGCGCTCCCATAAAACAGATGTGACAGGCATGGTCTCACAGACTTGCTCCTGATGACCACAGTTAGATAGGAAGAAGCAACCCAATGCCCAAAATAGTAGTTTCAGTGTTTCCTAACATCCCATGGAAGTCAACCTAAAATCTTAACTTCTGATACTTCCAATAGATTGAGTATGCTCAACAGTCCAGAGCTACTCTCCAATTGCTCCGTTCAACACCCCATGTGCTAAACAGTGCATGTCCAAGACAATGCACACACTAATTTGCAGCAACTACACTAGTGATCCACGCAGAAGTAACCTCTGAATTCAGTACGTATGCGATCTGCTAGCGCGTGACATAACAAATTGCTCACGAAACCTGCAAATGTGAATAAAGTCCGCATCACCTTGGGGGCTGGGGCGTCACGACGGCATCGATGGTGGCAGAGGAGGATCCCGGCTCCATGGAAGTCATCTGGATCACGGCGCGGTCGCTCGACCCGACCGGCCGGTACCGCCGCCCATTGGGCGGCGCGGGCACCGGCAGTGCGTCGTCGGCCTCCTCGATTCCACCGTTCTCCATCCCTCGGCGGACGCTGCGGAACACGCCGAAACTGATCCCAGTGAGATCCAGAGTTCAGAGGCACACACACCGACTAACCCCGCACAGCCGGCGTCGGATCCAGATCCGCAGCGGCGTGTGCTAGCGGGAGGAGCAGCGCCGGGAGCAGGAGTTGGGGGCAGGGACAGGTCTCCGGATGCTCCGCTTACCTGGAGGAGGAGGTGGGAGGCGGTAGCGGTGTCGGTGGGCGGTGGCGGAGGAGGAGACGCCGGCGGCGACGGTGGCGACGGCTGCGGAAGGTGGGCAACGGTCAGAGGGAGTAAAGATATGAAACTCGATTTTTTTACTTCCTCTCTGTTTTTTTGCGCACCAGTCCCCTTCGAGTGGAGAATTCCCGGTTTTAGCCTAACTGTTTGCTTCCCCTCGAGGTTTGCGTGTTTTGAAAAGGCAAAATTTGCCAGTTAAAACGTGGCTTTTGCTATAGGCCACTAAAAAAAACTGTCTCTGCCAAAAGACATCTAAAATTTAGACAGATATGCTATAAGACACAAGCTCATTATTATATTTGATTTTAATAGACAGCCACATGATATGACAAATATGCCCTTTTATCTTGTTCCTCAACAACCGCGCAGCCTGACTCAGCTTGGAAAAAAAACAGTAGCCAAAAAACATGCGATTATTAGGTGCCCAGATTAGATCAAATCCAAAGGAGACGAGTTTGTTAGATTGATTTCTAATCCTAAACTGGACCCAACGGTTTAGTTGGGCCTTTGATCCGCACCCTGATTGGGGGTGTCCAGCCCACTATGGCTGGAGGGTCCCTGTCACACTGCGCTATATATAGAGGTGGGGGGCGACGGCTCTGAGTACGAGGTTTACCGTGAGCCGAGCTCCCCACCGAAACCTAAATCCTAATCCCGATCAGAGAGGAGCGCAACCAGTGACGGAAAGCCACCAGCCGCGCCGCCCCGCTCCACCGATGTCGACGACTTCATTGACCTCTTCCCTGAACGTCGCTGCCCGTGCGCAGACTTCACCGACGAACGAGATGGCGGCTTCTGGACCATCTCCCTCTGCGGTGTCAGGTTCGACACGTTCTTCTTCTATTCCTCTCTATCTCTCTTTTCTCGATATTGCATTCACAGTAAAGAGAACATGCTAGACTTAACCCTAGATGATCTTTTTGATCTTAACAGAGTCAACAATCCAGACCCAATCCTGCGATGATCCGGCAACTAAGCAACTCACGAGAATGCACTGGGCGGAGATTCGTGTGACCCTCCTGCGGGCTCCTGTGCGCGTCCGCCCACCGGCAAGAGCAGCAGCGTCCTTGCCAACACGTACACGCCGCCGCCCCACGCTGACGTGGGGTTGCGGAACGGGTCGCCTGGGGACAGCCCTCGGTCACGCAGCAGTCGATCCTCAGAGAGGAACGCGAACGGGTCCCGCCGCCGTCGTCGCACATGGAGGCCGCGACACCGTCGTAGGTGTCAGTGGTAAGCGTACCCGTTGGCGGCGTGGGTGGCCACGATGGAGAGCAAGGGTGTGGAGAGGGAGGTCAGGCTAGAGCTTGCAAAGGCCATGGACAACGACGAGGCGGTCGCCGGGCTCGTGGGATCACAGTTCACAGAAGTCAGGCCACACAGGCTTTCGGGAAGTAGATAAAAGGCAAGGCCATACTCGTCATTTCTTGTGTCTATCTATTCAAATCAAATATAATAATGAGTTTAGTGTCTTGTAGCATATTAGTCCAGATTTTGGATGTCTTTTGGCAAAGACAGATTTTTTAGTGGTCCGTGGCAAAAGTCACACTTTAATAGTGTACTGTGGCAAATTTTGCCTTCTAGAAATGTTTGTTGCTGATTGTAGAATGTCTACAGCATTTGAGAAATAAATAAAGAAAAGTAGTTCATGCTCATTAATGTGAAAAACTAATCTCCAGCGAGAGTTATTTAGCCCAATATTGCCCATTCAAATGATTGTAGATGCCCTTTTAAATTCCTCCAAATTTTACCCAAAAATCACAAAAATCAAAAGAACATACGTGGCACTAGCAAATGTAAACACATGGACAAACTTGAATGGTGAGTGACATCTTATATTTTCCATTTTTAAATTTAACACATAATAATCTCCATTTTTCAATATCATATTTACTTCAATTAACATAATATATTCATATTTTTAAATTCATATTTTGGATGTTAGTAATATTGCATGTTTTGGAGCACCTATATGGTAAATGACCTTACTAGTTTAAACTAGCTTGACCAACAAGTACATTTAGAACGGATCCCATCAAATCGACTACACTTTAGGTTTTTCTAGCACTGAACAAGCTACCTAGTGCATCTTTGAGCGTCACCGAGGCACAAGGACAACAATATAAGAATAGAGAAAGTTTAGGGCAAAAGAACTAAAAGGAGAAAAGGTAAAATATAGAAAAATGTTTTTTTATCGATTAGCTCTAACGCTTTTAAATAACGGGTTATAGCCAAGTTATAGCAGTTCATGCCAGCTGCTACACGCAACAACATCGTTGTATTAAATAGCGGGCTATAACGACGCTATACCGGACTATAGTGGCTGAGTAGAGCTCTCCGCTAAATGGTATAGCTTACGATTTAAAATGATGATTAGCCCTTAACTGACCATGGCACTTCATATTTTTAGGGTAGAGATGTTGACATTCTTATGAGTCAAAACTCTTACAACTTCCGTATCAAAATTTAACACTTAACCCAGATTAAATTGCCAAAATCAGCCTAACTAGTTTATCAAGATTGTCTTAGCGTATAGCAAACTCTCTTGTGGCACTATGAGTTAGGCTATTGGCTAGTCATTTGCCACAACAAATCTTGCCAAAGGTGTGAGTTGATTCCTTTGGCACCGCTTCAGCAGGACTGCATGTGTCGGGAAAAGGCATGCTCAGTGGTCACCACCCAGATTGGTGAGAAAAGGAATTCTCACATGGTAAATACCTCTGTGTAGAACTCCAGGGGCGTCCCTAGGCCCGTGCGGGCTATGCGACCGAACAGGGCCCCAAAAAATAATGGGCCCCAAGATTTACTAAGTATCCTATATACAATAATTTTGGGCTTTGTTTTAATTAATAATCAGCCACAACTGTCTTCTTTGGCCCATAAACGTGGCCTGCTGGAGTACAAGAAAGACTTAATGCATTAGCGTTAGGGGGTGTTTGGGACTGCTCCACAAACTCTGCTCCACAAACTCCACCGTGGAGCAGCTCCACAAAAAACTGGAGTTTGTGGAGTACCTCTTTTAATAGCGTGGGCTGAAAACCGTTTGGCTAAAAAATGTGGAGCGGAGCTGAAAAACATGGAGCGGAGCAGTCCCAAACACGCCCTTAATAGCACTTAAGAGTGGCATGCTGGAGAAGACTGATTATGAATATATCATTGAAGATTTCATTTCAAAGAATGCTAAAAGACTATCGCTTTTTCAAATGATGGTTATACAATAGGTATAATCCTTGGTCTACACTGCTATTGATATTTGCCATCATTTTCTTGTTTTGGCACTATATATTAGGCTTTTACTTATTGTTTCAAACTGGGTCTCATAATTTGCCGGGACGCGCCCGTAGAACCCATGCCATGTGGATTTTTTATGGACATATTGCATGCAATACAAAATAAGTTGTAATGTTCATGGTTGTGGTAAGTCAAAATTGGTATAGACGGTTAGTTTCTTCATTGGTCGCTTGCTAGAGAACAAGTGACTCTTGGCATGCAACGCATGTACTAATTTTCTATATAACCTTGTTTCTTATGATGATAATTAACTAAACCTACTGTAGTGATCCCCCAAACCAAAAGTTTGTACGTTCATGGTGTGGTACATACACACATGCCAACATGTAAATAAACAGAAGAACATATTTATTTCTATCAAATGACCCGCCTTGTTAATCCTAACGGAAGGGGCTCTCGGAGCTTAGAGCATCTCCAGCAGTTTTCCAATAATCTTTCCCCAATATACATGTATTGGGTTAGCCCAATATTATCTTTTGTCAATATTAGAGGAGTTGTTGCAGCAGGACCCAAATATATCTCCCCCAATATCTATATGGAAGGTGGGTTCCACAGGAGTGTGAGAGAAAATATGGCTGAAAAGTGGTAGTTGGAATGGTCCACATGGTATTGAGGGAGTTGTATCTCCTCTTTCTTTGAGGGGAGATGAGGGAAATATTAGTGGCCACCAAAAAAGGGAGAGGCATTGGGGAACTGCTGGAGCAAGAAAAAAACATAGCTGTCCCCAATATGACAGTTTTATAGGGATAGGGGAAGGTATTAGGAAACTGCTGGAGATGCTCTTAGGCAGTTTAGCCTAACTTTGCCCTGAAGGGTTTTAACTAGGGATGAAAACGGATCGGATCTGAGTGGATAATGGTTTTCCCATATCCTAAACCACTTATTTTTATCGGATTCGGAGCGGATCTGATATTATACGGATTCAGATGCGAATACGGATTTTTTATGTCGGAAATGGTACGGATTCGGACCGGTGTCGGAGCAGAAGCGGACTTTTTTAAGTCGGATAATACGTGCTTATATGTTGTTTTTTATGATGAGAAACAATTTATTAACCAAAGTCATAAATCAATTACTATGCAATAAAATATATATACATACTACTGCGCTTCAGCACTTGGAAGTTGTATCAGGTACATCACTGGCTATTAAAATAATATACTACAATATATTCACCAACTAGTCTATACGTATATTCACCAACTAATCTATACACGACCGAATAATCCATACGTACATGCATGCAAAGATCAAGATGGGATCGAAGTGCTAGAACATTCGTTCATTCACCAATAAAATACTCCTTAAAAATATTCGGATTATCCTATTATAAACATAGGATAATCCACGTTTAATTATCGGATAATCCATATCCGTCGGATTTCGCTAATACCATATCCTACACCGCATCCGCATATAATCGGATTCGGATTATCCGTATCCACACGGATATTAAAAACACTT